ATATATATATATATATATATATATATATACATACATATATATATTACAATTGTATTATGCAATACAACTTATTCTGTAATAGATTCGCATTGAATGTCGGAAATCATGCGTGCTCTAGTAATATCATGAGTCAATAATAACAAATAAAATGATTAAATTTTAAAATTAAATTTGTTATGATTTACTCCTTGTACTATGATCGCGATTGTGATTATCTTATATATACATACATATATATATTACAATTGTATTATGCAATACAACTTATTCTGTAATAGATTCGCATTGAATGTCGGGAATCATGCGTGCTCTAGTAATATCATGAGTCAATAATAACAAATAAAATGATTAAATGTTAAAATTAAATTGGTTATGATTTACTCCTGGAACTATGATCGCGATTGTGATTATCTTATTATTGTGATTGTGGTTATCTTATTATTGTGATTGTGGTTATCTTATTATTGTGATTGTGATTATCTTATTATTGTGATTGTGATTGCGATTGTGATTAGTTTGTGATTAGCCGGATCCGACCTCCGATCCAGATACTGGCGCCTCGCACATCGTTCACGCGCAGCTGCGTTGATGGGTTTAGACGCGTCACCGTTCTCTCGCAATTACTCGAAACTTGTGTCGGCCTTTTGACTTCCTTGAACTGCGCTACTGGAAGAATCATGGCTAGAATCCTCAGCTGACAGAAGCATGCGTCTTTAGAACCTTGAGAGCGGTGCTCGATGCGGTTGGATAGGTAGACAATATGTACTGTGTAGCGTTAGCTATTGCCATCAGATTATTCATTGCCTCTTATCTCTTATATCGACTCCTTTTACCTCTTAATCAGATGTAACTTCGCGGGTTCCGTATATCCACGACGTACAACCCCGAGCCCTACCTCTCACCCACCGCGCGACCTTGCAGATGGCTTTACGATGAAATAGTTTAACGCCGTCTGTTTTCGACAAAGCAATAGACGTAGAAGTGATTGGCCGTAAAGTTGCGGAGAATGTGACGCGACCGAGAGCGATGAGAGGAGACGTGAAATCACTGAAGTACTTAATAAGGTTGAGCAGGGCCCTGGCCTACATAGGAGGGTGGTGCGGGTGGTGGGTGCGAGCGTGAGCAATCCATAGAAAAATAAAAGAAATGCGCCGAATAAATGTGCAAATAACCCTCAAATGTATATATTAAATAGAAAGATAATATGGTAATATTATATAAGTAGCTAAAGCTAAAAGTATAAAAGAGAAAAACTATTCCAAAATGTACTCGTCTTGTCGTGCGTGCGGCTGATTTCTTAACTGAAACCTGTAAAAATGTATTTCCCAGTAATAACTCTTTTGGATGCCCCGCTAGGAATTCGCAAAGTCTAGCTATGCCCCAGCTGGCTGACCCGATACAGCATTATGATGTTTGTGTGATCTACATCAAGTGCTTGCAATAATATTTGGTAATATATTATATATACCTGTCGCGCTCACGTTTCCGGCTTAATTATAGCGAGTATTATAAGAAGATATAGTAGTTGTCCTCAATTGCTATAAGATCTGG